ACCCAATATCAAACGGTGAGAATTCATGTTAGGTAGAGCAGAGATTAACCTGGATATAAAAGAAGGGTCATCCCAGTTGGGAGCATATATGCAAGCAAGTGTAACTTGAGTATTATACAGGGAACCAGAAACTATAACATATCGGCCCTGTGGATCTGATATGGACGAGCTTAAAGCGAACTGTATGTTTTTATGAATCAATATTGCTGTTCCCCTCGCTTTAGTATTAAATTGTGAATGGTAAACTTGTCCCACCCAAGGCTTCTTAAGTTTTATATGGTCTGCAGAGACCAAATGAGTTTCCTGTAGAAATGCTATTTCTGTTTTAAGTTTTTTAAGGTGGGAAAAAATTTTGGCCCGTTTCACTAATCCTCTCATGCCCTTTACATTCCAGCTAGTAAAGCGAACTGCTGAGGCATCCACTCTTACACTGTTGTTACATACATTAGCCATAATAATCCAATTTTATACCTGTCCCGGCCCAGCAGCTCCACCTGGCACCCCCACGGATGCATGTCTTCCTATGCATGTTCAAATTTTTAAGAAAAATAAAGTAGAAAAAACAACACAAATCACCTGTATGAATGAAAAAGGCAGCCCTGAACCCAACCCTTTTTAGAACCCACCCCAGTTGTATCCTTGCTTCTCTTGTCGAAGCCAACTGCTGTCCCATAAACACCTCGTTGGTCTTCCGATAGGCCTTACACATCCCCAAATTAACTTTGGAAGGTTCCCGAAAAACTTGGTATTAAGGAGTTACACTCTTTAAACAATAAGTTAAAACAGCACCAGCAACTATAAACGGTGGATAATGTAAACTCCACAGGGCAATTGTACAATAACCAGCTAGATTATGAACGTGGATTTTTGTGCTAAAATACACTAAATTTACGTAAAAACAGAGAACAGACAACAACAAAAACAGTGATATTAGCAGCATAAAATTGTAATAATAGGGGGCATATGAAGGGAATATGTCGTCCCCCATAGCATCCTTTAGCAACTTGGAAATGAACTTAGTTGGATCCTGTCCGTCTTCACTGCCTTCAGGTATGTTAAGTATGCGTAGATTTAGCCTGCGAGATCGATTTTCCAGGTTTTCAAGGCGTTCCAACAAGGCAGCGTTTTGGGACTGAAGAGACTTAACAGCAGCTTCAGCTTCGAATATGCGTTGAAAGTTGTCGCCTGCCAGGCTTTCCGCAGCTACAAGGCGGCTTTGAAAAGAATTCACTTCGTCCCGCAGCCCGTCCACCGAAGTTTGCAGAGGCCGAATTGACTCTTGAATTAATGTGGCCACATCCTCTTTAAAGTTGTTCCGCTGCTTGGATAGTTCCGTGACCAGTTGGGACATGGAAACGGGATCTCCGCATTTACCATCGCCATGTGGTTCGCCGTCGGAGGAAGCCGCGGCCATTGAAGCTACCTTGCTAGCTAAGCTAGTCGTTCGCCTGGTTGAAGTAGAAAGTTTTTGTTTAGTATTATCACTGGCCATTATAACGTCGCCAGGTTCAGAGATGGCGCTTCTATCGGTCCGGTGCTTAATAAAAGTGTATAACTCCTGTTCTAAAGTAATTTAAAAAAAAGTTGGCCGGGAGCTCCTTCACCCTGCTTCCCTCCTCTACATCGCCAAACCGGAAGTCCGTTCTAATTGTTTTAACTCTTATCCCACACCAGGGAGGGAAACAGTAATAGTACCACCAAAGTAAATCAGGTACAGTAGAAGATAGAAGATAAGCAGGGCAAAAACAAACAAACACAGGAAAGAGAAAAGAGGCATTTGCATTTACATGTACCGTATCTAAAGACAAAGTGGACCAATCAAATGATCCATTTCATAATAAATTTAGTTGATTTAAAACACAAGCTCCACTCCAGTCTGCTATTGTTGTGTTAGTTTGCACATGCCTTTTAGAGAAGAGTTGAGTCCTACATTTGCACGTAGTCACAAATACAAAGGTTTGTGGCTGGTTGTATAGATAGGGGTTTCCAAACAGAACCATCACCCAGGATGTAATAAAATGTTTGCACTCTGGAAGCAAGTTTAAAATATGTGGATGAATTTGTTGCTGCTGCATCTGGATGAGACCCCGAATTATACCAAAAGGTTTGTAGCATTCTCACGTAGTGTCTTTCCACAGAGACTTATCTCATTTGACTCAAGCCATGCAGAATTTGATTTAATTCAATTCGCTTTATTTATGTAGTGCCAGTTTACAACAAAAGTCATCTCAAGGCACTTTACAGGGATAACCTGAGCCATTTGAACAATAAGCTTTATCAAAAAGGAAAGCTTACCAAATATCACATGTAATAATTTCTTTAAAGTTCTGATGCTCCTGTGATACCAGTCAAAGTCATAGTTGCTGCACAGTAAACTGTTCTATTTTCTTTTATTCTCAATCACTTAACACCACATTGTAAAGGAAGGTGTAGGGAAGTTAGATGATAATTGAATTTTAAATGTAAACAGGTAGGCCGGGGAAGCAAAGGTGATCTTTTATGTGGGAAAACATCCTGAAACCTTTCCTATCCACATACAAGCACCAAAGAGGCAACCAGTGAGGGAGCAGCTGTGCATCTTGCCCAGATACAGCTGCCCACAGCTCATTAAACAGACAGCAAAGAGGTGCATCAGCTGAAAACAAACATGCACCACCAGTAAATAAATGCTCAGAATTGTGGTGACTTCAAGGCTGTACACAGAGACAGCTGTGTTTTGCATTCTTTATAATTCAGTTCTACATGCAGCTGTGCACTAGTTTGAATGTAAATGCAGTGGGGAAACTGGTCCTAGAGTCAGAATGTTCAGCATGCCTTGTAATGTCAAGAATATTACCAAGCACTCTGTCAGTGTGTAGGATGCATATAAGAAAACACTGCAGAGTCAGTTTTTTCAAGGAAGTGTATTTCCCCATCGCATTTTATCACATATCATCAGAATTGAGGGGTGACCTGGAGTGTATTGAATTAATTCCAAATGCTCTTAAATGGACTGCATGCAAAGTGAGGAAGTTCGTTTTTCATTAAATCCAAGAGAAAGTGAGCCAAAGAGTATCTTATAATTTTGTTATTCAGTTTAAATGTCCGAATGTTTGGGCAAGCTACTACTCCCAACCCACATTCCCTTATTCATATTTTTATAAGACTATATAGACTACCTTGCAAAGGTATTACTATACCCTGTAGGTTTTTTGCTATTTTTTCACTTTGCATCCAAAATATTCAATGTTTCATTGGGATTTTTTGTGAAACACACAATTTAGTGCACAATGCTGGAATGAAAAACAATATATATGCATAATTGCAATAATGTTAAAGCTTGCTTTCATCTGACCATAAGTATAAATCTTGTCCCAGATTTTTTCTCATTTTGTTACATAGTTAAAATGTACCCATGATGAACATTACAGACCTCTTGCATCTTTTTAAGTAAAACTTAGACAATCACTTTCTGACTATATACTTTTTTGCCCCTCTATATGCGGAGCACTCAATTAAGAGTTGCCTTGTTAACAGATAATTCCACCTTAGCTATGGATCTCTATAGACCCTTTAGAGTTAGCATTAGAACCTTGCTGTTTTTCTAAACCATGTTTTACTTGCTTGACCTGTTAGTTCAAGAGGATGACCTGCCTTGGTTTGTTGGTGATTTTTTTATTTGATTGACCATTCACACACACTCACATCTGAGGAGAATTTAGAGAAGCCAATTAACCCATTAACAGTCATGCTTTTGGACTGTAGGAGGAAGCCAGAGTACCCAGAGAGACACATGCACATGCAAACACAGAAAGACCCTGGTCTGGGAATTGAACCTTAAACCTTCTTGCTGCAAGGCAGCAGTGCTACCCACTGCGCCACTGAGCAGCCCCATCTCAAAGCTTCCCTCTATTTGCAAAATACTCTAAAAAATTGTTTCTGATCAACTACATGGCTATCTTGCCCTCAACAGTCTTTACAAGCCTTTCCAGTCTGGTATTCACCCCTCCTACAGCAGTGAAACTGTCCTAATAAAAATCACAAGTTATCTCCTCATATATACTGATTCTGGACTCCTCTCTATGTTCATCCTCCTCAATCTTTATGTGGCCTTTGGTAACAATTCTCACTCCATTCTCCTCACTTGATTATCCTCTCTTGGCATCTCTCACACCCATACTTACTGGTTCCGCTCATATCTCTCCGACCATATTCAGTTTCTTAAACTCAAATCTTTCAGATCCCACACTTTCCCTGTCACTACTGGTGTCCCTAACGGCTCAGTTCTTGCCCCCCCCCTCTTCATCACTCTTCATCCACTGTTGACCCACCGGTTCATTTTAAACTTCCTTAAACTAAACAGTGATACAACCAAACTCATCCTCATTGCCACCAAATCCACCCATTCCAAAATCAATACTTTCACTCTACCCATTGATAACTCCTTGGTCTTCCCCTTCCCTCAGGTCAAGAGTCTGGGTGTCATCCTCGACTCCCCCCTATCCTTTCAATCACAAATAAATAACATTAGGCAGTCTGCATACTTCCACCTATGCAACATTAACCACCTCACCTTCAAAAAGCAACCTCCTCCGGCGCCCTCTGATCCTCCTACTCGATCTACCTTACTGTACCCCTAAGCTCGACTTGTTACCACTTGTCTCCCCAACTCTGGAACTCACCCCCACCTGACCTATGCATAATTGACTCCCCCCCCATTCAAAACCAGACTCAAAACCCACCTGTTCTAGTTTGCTTGTTTGTAAATAACCTCTTCTTGTCCCTCTCCATAACTGTTTGTTTATACTTTTCTGTTCCCTGTATTTTTGTTGTCTGTAAAGTGACCTTGAATGTCTAGAAAGTCATTGTTAGATAAAATGTATTATATCGTATATACATTTTCAATAGGTACAGATTATATTCCAAGGCATATTGAGAGATTATTTATTTTATGTTTAAAATAGCCTACTTATACTGATCTATAAACAAACAAATGTAAATTTCTGCTTTCCTTTACCTACCCAAAAGAGTAAACCCTACAGTGCTTGCTCTTCATCCTATGGGCCAGATTGAACTCTGGATCCAGGCAAACCGCCCAGTTGCCAACCGATGGTTCTGTAGCAGCATAATTATCAACTAATGGAGCACAGGTTACCTGGATAAACACAGAAACACACAATAAGTTCATGTCAGAGCACTTATTATTTGTAACAATAAAATAATTGTAGAGAGTCCATATTTCAAAAGCAGAAGCATCATAAAAGCTGTTTTAGCAAAACAAAAGAGACCCCTGGACTGGAAATGTTTGGTCAGAAAGTACGATTGGCTGTCTCAGTTTTTGTGAAATAAAACATATGTTAGCAAATAGAGAAAGATCATTTTTGACTTAACACTCTAGAGCACAGGTTGAAGATGCATGAGCTACGCTTGGGGATGTGACACAAATAGTACTCTTAAATGTAACAGGAGTTACGTGTCTGTTTTTGCATTTATATTGAACATAGTTCAAGTTTAACTGGTTAATTTGTGTCTCTTGATAAAAAAAAAAATGAAGTTACATTTAATTTAATTTCCCTTTGGATTGGAGAATTGAATTGAATTGTGTCCTTATAATTCACAATTTACGGATACCCCTCAGTATTAATGGTGTCACATAAGCCTTTATATTTACAGATGACTGTCAACTGCAGCAGAGATTGATCAAAACCAAGTGACATTTTCAAGCTCTATTTGTAATGCTTCATATTAAGTACAACTTAATTAAGTATTAAGTAGAAAAGATTTGGAGCTCAAACATTTGCTGATATTTCTTAGTGTGACATGAAAAAAAAAGCTGAAAAACAAGTACGTTGATAGAGAAAGTTCCTTTCTGAGTAATAAAAATAAGTGGATATTTTATGTTTTTTTGTTTTTGTTTTTTCCATATAATGAATAGCGCCTTTAAGAAACCAGGAAGTTTCCTATCACGCAAGAAAGTTCTCAATAATCTAATTTATTGAGTAGAAGTAATTTGAAAGGTGTGTAAAAAAACGTAAAACAGAAAACACCATTTCAAGTTTGGCTATTTTGGAAATTGGTCATCTCTAGCACAAGAACCTGCTTCCTACGCATTCAGAGGCCAATTTGTGCTTTGTTAGCTTAAGTTTGCACAAGCAGTAACTGGTTGGCTCAGACATGATGATGCAGAGCAAAAATCAAACTCTTTGCCTTCCGTTCCTTAAGTGCAAACACAACAACATGCACAAAAATATGTGTGTGTTTCTCCAGACTCTGCAGTGTTTAATTAGCTTAAAGTGAACAATCAGTGCTGACATACAGGGAGAAAAAAAAAAAAACTGAGAATGTGGGTGTGATTAGTCATTCCAAAATAAATCATTTGCAATCTCTTCTAGTCGCTTATAAAATTGCACCCATTGTTGGCTAAAAACTGGCATTTGTAATCACATTATGAATGTTTGCCTTCTCTGCAAGAATTTCCATTTTTACAGCTTTGAAAGAGCAGCTTGCTGCAGCCTGTTCACTGACAGGTCAAGCACAGAGGCACCAGCTAATACAGGTTCGCTTTCATCTCTGTCCTCAGGGTGTTTTTGTGGTACTGTAAAACAGAAATAACTATGGCCTCAGATGCTACTTGATTTAATTTTTGACTCTAAATGCACTGTAATTTCTGATAATGATTATGTGCCCCTAGCTGAAGGCAGTCATCAACACATGATGAGCTGCAACATGGACTAGGAAGTTGACTTACAAGCATTGTTACACAGAAACAAATGTTTTTTTAAGCTTATGATATTCCTTTAATTAAGTTACGCTCTTTTCTGCAAATGTAACAGGAAGTATTCCTACAGTATGTGTCATATATGTTTTCTCCTCTGCATGTTTCCCTGTGAATGCATGCCAAGAAGCTGCCAGGTGCTTTTGATTGGACAGTTGTGTCACAGGCCATCTCTCTGAGTAGCAGCTCTACTAGACACTATGTCAGTCAGCATTACAGCTGAGGATGCAGAGGATTCATGCATAGACTGCTCCTGCCCCCGCCTGTCACCATCACTGATGGACGGCTCCCTTTCACAGCTTCCTTCACAAATACACTATCTTCTTCTCTGTTCTGGTCGCTGTCTCTTGCTTTCCCCTCACAGAAATAAACAAAGGATCTACACACACACACACAAGCTGAATCTGTATTCTGTTTAAGATATAAAGTGATAATGCTTACTTATTTGGACAATGGATAGGGGCTCATGTCCAGTCGTGTTATTAGAGAATATTGATAAAATGTTGATTTATGCAAAATCAAATTTATTTAAGACAAACAATGCTAAACATAATTTTTCTGTGATAAAAACCCAACTCTCTTTGTAATTTTAAGCAGCAGTAATATATATATATTTTTTTTTTCTCAAGACTCCTACAGGCCCCAAGAATTTCTTTATGATGCAGAACAAATCTGTGGATTTACTGTAATTAATAATGATATAGATGGAAAATCAAACTACAGCATTTCATTGATTCGCTCTGAATTGAGGTACTGTGAGATCCATCTACTTTGTAATCAATATGAATTACAGAGCCTGGTTGAGCAAGATAAATAGATGAGCTGAATATAGTAGAGATCTAAGAGTCACCCAATTTTGGTTAGAAAGATACAGCCTTGCCCTGATGTTAATTATATTACCTGGTTGTCCTTCAGAAATAATATTGTATACATGAGGCTGGGGATGTTTCGTACTGTTTTTGTGTCAAACTTACTTTCTAAAATGATGGCCTAAAGTCCAATACTGGTTCCTTCAGACTATAACATATTGTTTCACAAAGTTTTAGTCAGGTCTGGAGGCATTTTTTAGGAAGAAAGCACTTCTGTCTTGCGATCGCACTCTTTGTTACAGACGTGAAAACTCTATGAGACTCTTGTGGATCAAGCTAAATTTAAATGGAGGTGAGAAGTTTGTTCCAACATCTGATCACCAGTTTGGCCCAATTTGGCCCAGTTTTTTTAGCGTTTAATTGATGCCTCAGAAGCATTTGACCTAATGAATCCTGATAAATGTTTTTATAAATTCGATGACGGCGGATTTCTGAAAACGTTAATCGTCTTGGATTGGTATTCTCACCAGTTTATGTATATAAAATGGTTTCGGTGTGCGACAAGGTAGCATTTGGTCTCCCGGTCATTTTGATATGTAAATGTACAACTTATCTAAGATGTTGAATACATTTAGGACTGGTTGTCAGTTTGGTAATAGAACTGTCAACACCCTGATGTATCCTGATGATCTTCTGATGATATTGCTGGCCTGCTAGGAAGTTTATTGGTCGTGGCTGTGAATGCAGGGAGGATTCATCACACTCACCTTCTCGCCCACTCTATTATGAGGATAAAGTCTGGAGGAGTACTGACCATTACCTCCTGTGAACCACCTATTATACCAGAACGCTGCCAATATGCCATTAAACAGTAGCTGTAAGTTAGAAATACGTTCAGCAGTTGTCTGGAACGCGTCAAATATGTTAATATGCATTGGAAATAAGTTCTTGATAAGTTATGCACAAGTTACTTATAGGTTTTGGATTAAGCTACACTCTAGACTTATGAGTAACTTACACTTAACGTATGTTAACAATCAGATAACTTACCTGTAACTTATTCCCCACGTATGGCAAACCCTGGCATACGTTGGGGCATATGTGCTTGCTGTATTTCCTCGTGTGCCAACGTATGTCAGTGTACTTTAAAGTGCTTCAGCTTTCTTATAACTTATACAAAAAAATCATCAAGGTGTGGCAGGGGCTTTAACAGAAACCTCATGGGAACTTCTTGGACAAGTTACCGTCTTATTACCAAAATAAATCTTCTTTCATGATGATGCAAAGTTAAATTTGACAGTGTTGCCATTAGTTATAAAACTAAGAATTGAAAAAGCTTCCTGGATGGGAAGTGAAACGTCTTCAAACTTGGAAGTCCAGTCTAAGTCCAGTGTTTTTTTTTTTTTTTTTTACTTTTTTGGAATGACTGTACCCTGGATGACTGAGAATTTTCACCAGCATAAGAAAAATAAGTATAAGGAAGTTATCATCCAGAATTATAGAAAAATGATCCATTAATAGGGTAGTGCATTATTCAGTATAAAGTTTAAAGCATCCGTCCTTAACATTTTTTCCTACATTATTTTTACTTTTATACTTTAAGTAGTTTTGAAAATGGTACGTTTGTACTTTTAATGGAGTAAAAAGCTTAAGTTGATACTCTAACTTCCACAAAAGTGTTTTTTAAACACTGTTTTTATACTTCAACTTGAACAATAAACCAAAATACTTTTCACACCTCTGTTTAGAGGTAAAAGATTTAGAGTATAAAGTTAGACAAGTAGGAACCTTTAGGCCTATCAATGATGCCTTTTATTTTTTATAAGCTCAAATATGAGAACTGCCACATTTATTGTGTCTTGAACATTTACTTTACAGATGATCTTATGGTATTTTAATAGTAAGGTCTTCATTTCCTGCTTACAGAGCTTCCTCTAGCTGTCATTTTTCACAATTACTGGGGGGTCTAAGATGTATAAAACAAAATTAAAACAGCTTTATCCAAGAGAAAATTATTTTAGGCAGCAGTAATTCTGTTAACAGTGACTCACCTGTGGGGTTGTGATATAGCTGAGGAACCTTTTAGCTTCATCCTCCAGAGAGTGATTCTCACTGGCCCAGGGCTGTGGATTTATATGCCAACGCAAAGCCTGAAGTTAAACACAAACATGATGTGGGAAAGAGGAAGGAGGGGTGCAGCAAACAAAAATTACATAACCTGAAAGTGGGCCACTCTCAAGAACTTTACTGCAAGTAAGGCTTGACTCTTTCAGGTACCATAACCCACTTGTGTGAATGTACTGTTAGAAATGGGTCACAGTGTGCTCTGTAAGGACGCAGAACTACTTAAGTGACAAATCTGTACCTTTTGTTCCAAAAGGCTTGCTTGACATTTTTTGGTGTTTTGAGTCCTTTCACTTTTTCCCATTTTGTCAGATTCTATCCACAGACTTCAAAGTATTTTTGGGGGAATTTTTGAAAAAAAAAAAAAAAAAAACCCATCAAAGTAGTGCACATTTAGAAGCGAAAGGAAAATTATATTGTTCTGGTCTCAAAAGTGTGAGAGGATTTTTAGTCGCTAATCCAATGTGGATACCTTCTAGAACAGGGTTAAATTCTAGTCCTTGAGGACCGGCGTAGTCCACCTATCAGATAGGACTCTGCTTTAACATACCTGGGGCTCGTTTATACATTATTATCAGGACTGGAGAACTTGATTGCATACTGAGGACATAATTCAGCCATTTGATTCAGTTACGGATGCAGAGAAACATCTAAAAGATGCATTATAATGGACCTCAAGGACCTACATTAAGGAGCCTTGTTAATTCCTTTGGGGCATCACTTTCAAGCCTTGCATTACATTTACACACTGAAATGTTTTTTCTTATTCTTCCTAAAATATGTGTCTGTCAAATTTGCAGGTGAACGTCCTTTTCTTCTAATTTAGTTTTAGGTGACAGGGATTTCTTACACGCAACATGCTTTGATCTAAGCCATTCCACTGTAGCTCTGCTAGTATATTTAGAGTTATTGTCCTACTTAATAGTGATTCTCTATCCCATTTTCAAGTCTTGTGCAGCCTTGAGCAGGTCTTGCATGATTGCAATATGTTAAGAATGTTTGGAAGTTGGATAAAAATCATACACATAGTTCACTAGATGGCCTTGGAAAAATCCTTTCAGGAAAGTGTTGTTGCTGCTCGATGCTGCAGTTATCACATTTCAGAAAACTGGCAGTGATCCTCTTCACGGCCTGCTTCACTTCTACTGGAATGTGTCTGTTTATGATTAAAGCAGAGGCTGTGTAGCGGCGAACAGAGAAGGAGCGAGTTGTGATGATGTATTAGATGCTTGCACAATCATTTTCATGGCCAAATGTGCATTAGCAGCAGTGGTATAAATTATTACTCCATTTTCTGTTTGCAGCCTTCCCCCTTTCTTCAACCGTGATGTTTAGCTACTGCAGCCTGTTTTCAAGCATTATATACACCTTGAAATGATTATCCTTGGGATGTCGCTGATGATATATTTAGTTTTTCCGTTATGGTCAACATCCTATGTAGGCTTTTGCCATGTAAGGTGAATAACTGTCTGTTGGGGATTGACTTTAATGTTTCTGAGGGTTCACAGTAAAAAAAGTGGCATGACTCTTTGATCTATAGTTACCTAGAGTACATTGAAACTCAGTGCTCTTTGCAGATACATTATCTGACAGCACCATATATGTCATTTCTTCCTCCAGTGGTGCTGATCTGGAATCTGCCATCACACAGATCCAGCTGCTACAGAATTAATGACTACAGAACCCAAGCAGCCTTTCAGTTTTTTTGGCATTTGGACTTAAGCTGTTTTCCAGACTGTTACATATCTGAAGGTTTACCACTTGTCAACTCATCTCTTCCCTGCATTTCAATCTTTACCTTTGTGCCTTCTCACAACAAATTTTAACTTCTTTCCTTTTTTAGCTTCTATAGAAAAGGGGATTATCATTAACTGAACAAATATAAGAAAAAAGAAATTGTTGAGGAAAGAAATATTATATGAAAGATATTTAATTGAAAAGAAAATGCAGATATCTTTTATAGATGTCGAGGCATAGAAAGAAGGACCCAGAATTAAGGCAAGACAGACAATGTAATAACTATTTAGACAAGCGGGTATGCAGAAGCAGCAGCAAGGTCCGCTTGGGGGATTGTGGGCTGGTGGTTAGAGCAGTGTGTTTGTGCTCTGCGACAGTAGCAAGTACCCAGTTTGATCCCCACAGCCTGCCACTCTGGGTTCCTGAGCAAGACGCTTAACCCCACACTGCTCCCCGGGCGCCGCACAATGGCAGCACACTGCTCCCCAAGGGGATGGGTTAAAGGCAGAGATAAATTTCTCCAATGTGAGATCAATAAAGTTAAATTATTATTCAATTATTATTATTAGGTCGTCTAAGAAAGGAAAATCTATAAGAGAGAACGCAGGTAAGTGACCACGATAATCTGATGCAGGATGAAATCAGAACGCGTGAGTCACTAACTGGGTTTGACAGTTCAGTCTGTGCCCATAGAACGAGGATGATTCCAGCCGACTGACAAGATGCAAAGGATGCTGCCAGAGAATTCTTGATGGGGAAGCCTCGAAGGCTGCAGGACAGACAGGAGATTATCCCCAAGGAGATGAAGGATAATCCACAGGGCAAAGCCAAGAGGCAGATCTAGGGTCAGTCTACAGAAGAATCCAACAGGAATCCAAAGACAAACCAGACAAACAGATCAGACAGGGGGAGGCAAGCTCAAAAGTCCAAATACAGAAACAGGTCGGGATCAGGCAAAAAGTACACATTTAGTAATGCTTGAAAACTCTCTACTCCAAAGGTTCAAGAAAAATCCGACACTGATGGCTGGGACCAAGAAGTTTAAATAGGAGCAGGAGCAAGTGGATCAGCTGAGCAGTGATGAGAAACAGGGCAGAGCTGGACAGGTGAATGAAATGAGCAACCAAGCCAGCCATCAGCAGCAAAAATCATTACAAAAGATTTCTTGAGATATAACTCGTGTGGTGCTTATTTATTTTATTCTTAGATTACACAAAGACCTCCGATCTGACTTTTCAATGAAATAACATATGGCCAGCACTTATTTAGTGCCAAGTAAGGAGCTTAAAAAGCGCTTTTTATAAAACTTGGGTCCCATGATTACATTTTTAGGGTTTTACTGAGTTTTTCACATTTTGTGACCTGTTTTAATAATGAACTTGTTTGGATAGCCCACAATCCTGTTGGTGTCTGTCACTTTAGCACTGTTTCTTTTTTTTTGGAATTGCTGATTTGAAGTTCTGATGTCTCTATATATATATATAAATCTCACTTCAAAATTCAGGAGCATCAAATTTTTCAACATATTATGGCTTACCTCTTCTAGAATTTCACCATGAGATTTTCATCACGTACACCTGAAGCTTAAAGAAAAAATTTCAATTTAGTTTCCACAGAATTATTGATGGTTTATTCTACTTGGAAATCTTACCATTTAGTCATGTGTCCTAATATCCTTTAGGACAAAAAAAAAAGAAAATGATCAATGATAAGCTTAAAATGCTCCCCCTGGTTAAAAACTGTGGTTCTTGTGTATTAAATCCCTGATTACCTATTATTTCTAAGACGTTATTTCAAATTTAGTGGGATGTTGTTTTTTTCCCTATCAGGTATTTTCAGCTCTACACCTTCTGCACACATAGCCAACAGTAATAATGCAAACGTGTGTGCCCTCTTAACTGAAATTAGGGAACAAATTTGACTAGAATCTATATTTGTTTAACCACCTGTTGGGTTTGTTAAAAAGAAAACAAAAACTGTGAGGATAATGAACAGGATTCGGGGATTCTGTTTTATCAAAGCAGCCAAATCGGTTTGACCAAAAATACTGATTGATGAAACTGTTTTAGTTATCATTTCTTTTCACTGACACTGAATGCCTGCTACTTTTTTGTTTTATTCTCTGCAAAATATAGGCCTGGCATGGCTGAAACTCTGACAAATAGACCCTGCCAAAAACAGGAAATATGAACCACTGACTCCAAACAGCGTATTAAAACGAGGCTGAGAGAACAGTTGTACAGAGGGGGAGTTCATGCATAGGTAGACAACTAACATCCACCTGTCTGCTTTAGGAACCTAAGAAAACTCTCAGGGCTCTCCAATTCTGAGCTGCCCTTTTCATCCGAGTCCTCCCTTAGCTGCATGGCTGTCAAGTTTGATACATCACCAGAGGACAAGGTTGGGCCTCAGCTACTGATCAGAGAGCTAGTTTCTGGGACAAAGGACTCTCTGGGAGGGTGTAATATGGGGTAAGACATATTTCAGCAAGTACTAGCAGCAAAAATGACAAAAAAGATTTTCCTCTGAGTTTTCTCAGTCTTTACTCTTGGCTATCTAATTATTTTTTTTATCTTAAAAACAATTACTCAAAATAGGTTTTACATTCAAGTAATTATACTAAAAAGTGTTCTGCATAGACTTTAAATATCATTCCCCTCATGTCATGTTATAAGTGGAAAATCTAATCCTGTATTTAGATAACTTGATAACTACATCTTACTGCATATTTGCTAACATTTTGTCCAGACATGTATTGGATTGCTTATGAGCTTCCACTGAAGGCAAAATCATCATAAAGCTGTGATAGGATTGACCTTATGACCCTTTGTTCATTCACACAACAAGTTATCAGCACCTGCAGGATGGGAGCTGCGAGCAGAGTTATCTACTTAAAAGTTGTTATCGATCAACTAAGGTGCAAAAAACCATTTGCACTTCGAACGTAAATTAAATATCTAAAGGACACCTAAAATACAATACCATGCATCAATGTAAGTTTGCATAAATATTGGTAAAAAAAAATAAGAAGGCTACTAGGCATCTTGGTAGTGAGCTGATTGTGCTTTAAATTAAACTTTTATGAACTGAAGGAAGACATGTTAAAGTTAATGCATTAAGAAGACATTGAGAAGAACTGAAACATCTAAAATATCATTTGAGGGGCTGGTAAGAAATTGAGCTGGTGGATCGAGGTGAGTAAGAGAACCAAAAACAGAAATATGAGCCGTTTCTATTAGATTATGTTCATTAGTGTAAGCACTAACTATAGTACTGAGACTTTGCAAGG